ATAGTTTCCAGCAGACATTTCCACAAAGCAGGAAATTTCAAAGGCAGTCACTATCTGCTTGTCCTGAAGAATGTCTTGCAAACTCTTTCATGAATCAGGAACCCCGAAAGATCATCTCACCTTTAGACAAGTTCAGCAGTCCTCTCTCTGCGGGTTCTCTGTGTCCAGTTTATGCAACAGTCCAGGCAAGAGCAGTTTCTTGCCCAAATAGCTATCAAACTCCACAAGGATCCTCTTCGATGCCCATCTTCCTCTTGAAGTAGATTGGTGCTGCCAGGAGCAGAGTGTCTCATTGTCATGAAAAGCCCTAAGTTATTAAAACATTAAATAGCTATTCCATAGTCTTTGAAAGATATGAAGAATGCCTATCTAAAATATATCTATGTACATATAGAAAATCTTAACTAACATGACTACAAACTTGACTATTATGATTATCTATTAACAACCTATATACACTACATTTTAAGTGAACTACACAATCACAATATCTTAATCAAGATCAGAAATACATAAACATATAGCAAACGTTGACCTTAAATCTCTATCAATAAAGCAAAATCTATACTAATGCAAATTGTTCATACCTATATCATATCCCCCTTTAAATGTAAAAGAACATTTATAAACCATATTTGGGAACATGGGCGCAGTTTTTTTCTCTCCAAACTGCTTCCTGCTGAAGGGGGCGTCATTAATTAGGTCTTTAATGGTATAACCTGTGTGCTAGGTTCATCTCAGTCGGCAGTTCGGCAGTTGAGTGAAGTAATTTTCTGAAGTTGTTCACTGCAACATTTCAGGAGGGCATGGTCCAACATACCATATTCGAATAGAAACAATGAACAGACTCTCACCCTCTGTGAAAACAAAATAAGAAACTCCTTTCGAAAGCATCATGTCCTTAGATCCAAATTTCAAAGTCAAGGCATCAAAATCTCTACGTTGGATTAGTTCAGCAGCATTTACAAACAAATATCTTTTAGCATCTGTTGCTCCTTCCTCAGCATTCAAACAATTCAAAGAGAGCATAATAGCATACAGTATCAAGATTCTCTGTGTATTTTCCATCTTTGTACACTTTATTTTAACCTCTATTTTATTTATTTTTACTTTTATTTTATATTCTCTGTATCTTTGCCCTGGAATAACTCTGTAGACCAGGCTCTCCTTGAACTCTCAGAGATCCGCCTGTCTCTGCCTCCCAGGCAATGGGATTAAAGGCGTCTGCTACCACACCTTGAAGTCACAGAGGTCAATCTCCCTCTGCCTTCCAAGTGTTGGGATTAAAGGTGTGTACTACCATACCCAACAACTCTCTGTCTTCCTTATTTTTACTTTTAAGAACTTTTAGCTTTCATATATTTTTAGCACACAGTAAACCATTTAGAAATTTTCTTTGTCTTTGAATCTCTCTTTACTGTATATCTCTCTTTTTCTGACCACACGAGCCTTTAATTTACTGAGCAATGTGGGTAGGATTAAAGCCGTGGCTTTGCCAGGTAGTTCCAGTCCATTCCTTAGCTTTCCAGCCTCATGGCAGAGGTACCAGTTGTAGCCATGTTTACTGTCACAACTCTATGGCATTTCAAGGTCCCTGCCAGCCAGCGAGCTACAACAGACAACATTCAAGTCCTCTCTCTGTAGTCGGACCTCCTGCCTCAGTCAGAGTTTGCCCTGGCAGGACAGCCCAGAAAGCTGGCATTTTTAAACAGCACAGCTTTTTTCCTGCTACGGCTGAAAACCGAAAAGCATGCGTTCAGCCTTTCATCAACACTGTTTAATTGTTTCGTGGCAGGACCTCTTAATGAGCTTCAGGGTTTTGCAGCTAAAGCTGAGTCAGGAAGCCTCTCTTAGATGAGAGTGCTTGCTTGCCTCTAGCAAGCAGAGTAGACCCGAAAAATTGTTGCTACCAAGAAAACATGCTTCACTCCATTCTTTCCCAAGCTTTCTCAGGCTTTCAGTGGATTCAGTTATCCTCATGTTGGGCAGCCATCTGTTGAAATAGGAGCGGTGGGGCTGCGTCCCCAGCACCCCGGCCGCCTGCTAGCTTATGCCCGAAATAACAACACACAAACTGTATTCATTTAAAGACTGCTTGGCCCATTTCTATCTAGCCTCTTCTAGGCTAATTCTCACATATTAATTTAGCCCATTTCTAATAATGTGTGTAAACACTCCAAGGTGTGCTTACGGGGAAGATTCTAGCCTATGTCCATCCTGGGTTGAGCTTCATGTGTCTGCCTCAGAGCACAGAGCTATCTCGTCTACCCGGGAGAGCTGAGCATGGTGTCTCTGCTCCAGAGAGCAGAGCTGTCGGGTCTGAGCTCACTTCCTCTTCCTCCCAGCATCCTATTCTCTTTACTCCTCCCACCTATGTTTTAACCTATCAGGGCCAGCCAAGCAGTTTCTTTATTGCTTAACCAATGAAATCTAGGCTACTTCCTGCTGATTGGGGGCATTGATAATTTTATGGGGACCTAAAGAAAATTTATGGTTATGGTCGAGTCTTGACTGGAATATTCTGTGAGTCTTGATCATCCAAGCCCAGCAGTCTTGAGGCTATTCTGGATGCAGAACTCACAGGAAACTCCAACAGAGGTCCTCTGAAATGTTAGATCATCTGGGCCATTCACTTCTAGTAGAGATTTTTCAAACCTGATTTTTCTTAACCCAGAATGAATCCACAGACTCTCATTTCTTGTGGAAACAAAAGCAAAAACTTTTCTCCATTGTAACATATCTTTTCACTTAAATTTTAAAGTCTAGACATTTTCAAAAATACATATATTGGATTAATCTAGCAGTATTTGCAATCAAATATATTTTAGCAGTTGTTGTTCCTTTCTCAGCCATTAAACAATTTAAAGGCAACACAATAGCATACAGTATCCAGATTCTCTGTGTATTTTTCATCTTTACATGGCTTTGTTTTAAACTCTGTTTTTTTTCTTTTCTTTTTTACTTTTGTTATTTTGAGACGGGGTCTCTCTGTGTATCTTTGACTGTCCTGAAACTCACTCTGTAGACAAGGCTGACCTTGAACTTACAGAGATCCACCTTCCTGTGCCTCCCAAGTGCTGAGATTAAAGGAGTGTGCCACCATACCCATCTATTCTCTGTTTTTTTTAAGGACTTATCTTTTTTTTGTTTCTCTCTTAAACCTACATATATTTTAAGCTCACCCTAAACCACTTAGAAGGGTTTTTTTTTTGTCTGAATCTATCCTTATTGTATATCTTTCTTTTTCTGACCACATAAGTCTTTAATTTGCTAAGTGATATGGCTAGGATGAAAGCTGTGGCTTTGATGGCTAGATCCACCCCATTCCTTAGCTTTCTGAGAGTCTAGTTTCATGGCAGAGGTACTAGCAGGAGCCATGTTTATTGCCACAACAACTCTATAGATTTTCTATGTCCGGTCATCACCAAGAAGCATTCTGTTGGATATTCATAAACACAATTTAAGTGTTTATTGGTGGGAGTCTCTTAAAAGAGCTGCAAGGTTTTTGCAGCTAAAACTGAGTCAGGAAACCTCTCTTAAATGAGACATGCTTGCCTCTAGCAAACAGTGTCCATGTGAAAATGTTGTTGCCAAGAAGCCATGCTCTGTTCTTTTGTGTCTAGAATTACTTCCCAAGCTCTCTCAGGTTTTATGTGGATGTAGTTGGCACCACCAAGATCTGAAATAATCACACAGAAACTATATTAATTATAACACTACTTGGCGACTAGCTTAGGCTTCTTATTCAGTAACTCTTACATCTTAAATTAACCCATAATTATTGTCTGTGTTAGCCACAAGGCTTTGTACCTTTGTATCAGCGAGGCATTCTCATCTTGCTTTCTCTATATCTGGGTGGCAACTGCAGACTGAGCCTTTCCTCTTCCCTGAATTCTCCTATTCTGGTTGCTCTGCCTATACTTTCTGCCTGGCTACTGTCCAATCAGCATTTTATTGAACCAATAGAAGTGACAAATCTTTACAGTGTACAAGACCATTGTCACACAGTAATTGTTTGAGCAGAAAGGAATATATAGTTTTATGGGTGATATCTGCCTTTCTGAATGGAAGACAGTTATGTGTATGTATGTTTTAGTTCAGAACTTTAAAATATTATTTTTAAAATTTTAAAAGAGAGCCAAGGAATAGAAACTGGGCTTTCTTATGTTTAAGTTATGTTTTTAAGGCCTACATTTATTCAGCATTCCACAGTAGACTGTATGTGCCTTGTATTAGATACTGTCCCAACTACTGGAATGAAGCAATAGACAAAATACACAAAAATACTCCTTTTAGTGGACTTACATACTAGGAAAGTCCTAAGACAGTATTTCAAAGGAGATGGAATGGTTAGCCATTATTTTGGTTAGGGTTTCAGTTGCTGTGAAGAAACACCATGACCATGGCAACTTTATAAAAGAAAATATTTAGTTGACGCTAGCTTACAGGTTCAGAAGTTTAGTCTATTATTATCATGGTGAGAAGCATGGTGTTATGCATACAGGCAAGGTGCTTGAGAAGAAGCTGAGAGTTCTGCATCTTGTTCTGCAGGCAACAAAATGTTAACTATAACACTGGGCATACCTTAAACATATATGCGACTTCAAAGCCCACCCCAAGAGTAACTCACTTCCTCCAATAAGGGCAGACCTATTCCAACAAGGTCACACCTATTAGTGCCACTTCCTTAAGATGTCATTTATTTTCAAACCACACAACCATGAAAATTATTTCTTAGCTATCTAATAAAATCAGGAAATAGAAGTTTTATGAACTGCTTACCTCTAGATTTTTGGCATTTGCCAATTTAGTTCACATAGTGTTGAATAACCAAAACCAAAATCTACCCCTCAAGATTACCCATCTTGAAAAAGTGCATCACTATGCATTTATTTTTTCAAACTAGAAACCTGAAGATTATTTTTTTTCTTATAAAAGGGTCTCAAGTCCCTAAGGCTATTCTCAAATTTTCTGTGTAGCTCAAGCTAGCTTAAACTTTATAGTGATTATTTTGCTTCAGCCTCCTAGGTGGTGGACGTACAGCCATTATACCCTGTTTATGTTGCATTGGAAATGGAGGACAGGGCTCCCTGCATGCTAGGCAAGCACTCTACTAAGTGAGCTACTTCCTTCACCTGTAAAAATTTTCTTTCATCTCTATTTCTTTCCTCCCTATACCATTGCATTTATTATCTATCACCAATTTTATCAAGCATATCTTAAATACAAGGAAAGCAAAAGTGTGAGGCATCCTTTCTCATGGGTCCATCAAAGTAATACTTTTCTTCTGCTTTTTCTCCAGGGATCAAAGTGGCAATGCACCTCAGTTCAAGAAAGTAGTTTTTCAAGAATTTACTGATGGCTCCTTTAGTCAACCCTTATACCGGGGAGAACTAAATGAACATTTGGGGTTGTTGGGGCCTTATATAAGAGCAGAAGTTGAAGACAACATTATGGTAAGTTAAGGACAATGGAATTACAAAAAGTTCTCTATATATGGTTTGCTTCTGTTTATAAAAATAACATATACAAATGGCATGAAATTAGAAGTTAAACTGTCTAGGCCAGTGGTACTCAACCTGTGGGTCTAGACCTCTTTGGGGAGTCTAATTACTCTTTCACATGTCCCCTAAGACCATCATAAAACATAAATAGTCACATTATTATTCATAACTATAGCAAAATTACAGTTATAAAGTAGCAACAAAATTAATTTTATGGTTGGGGGTCACCACAGCATGAGGAACTATATTAAAGGATCACAGCATTAGGAAGGTTGAGAACCACTAGACTAGGTTCAACCTATAGCCTGCAAATCCACATACAACCAAATATAGATAAGCATGTCCTAGCAGAAAATCACAAACTTACTTAAAGCATTATAGAGGGTTTTTTTTTTTTTTTGCATTTTCTGAAACTCAGTTGTACCATTCTTCAGTGTGATCATTAGTAGATAACATCATGTCACAGTGTAAAAAGGCTGGGCACACATGGTCTATGGAAACAAATGTAACCAATGGGAGAGAGGAGGAAAGGAAGGAGAAGATAGAAGAGGACTGTGTGAGGAATATGTTCATATGTACATGAACGAAAATATCCTTTTGTAACATAGTACCATGTACACCAGTTGGAAAAAATAATATGTTCTGCCATCTGAAAAAATTAAAGTACATAAAAATTGAGGAGATAAATAATCCTATAATTTTCATTTTGATGTATATTCCTCATCTGTTGCCTGGTTTTTCCCTTTATGTATTAGAAATTATACCATATGTAATATATATAATTCTGCCTCTTCAATTATGTATTATGTAATAAATATTTTACATCATCCAAATACTTCTTAAGTAAGAAGAAAGGACTATGTATATGGGCATGGTTGCACATGTCTTTAATCCTCCTTCATCTCCCACCCCCACACTTAGGATCAGAAACAGGGGCAGATGGATCTCTATGAGTTTGAGTTCAGCCTTGTCTACATATGGAATTTAAGGACAGTCAGAGTAACATAGAGAGATTCTATCTCAAAAAATAAAACAAAGAAGAATGACTACATGATATTTTATCACATGAATTGATGGGACCATAGATTACTTAAATGTATACTTTGAATAACCTTTGAGATAATTTCTTTTTCCTTTTCTTTGTTTCTTTGAGACAGTATCTCACAATGTAGCCTTGTGTCTTTGTCAATGTTTTATTGCTATGAAAAGATAACATTACAAAAGCAACCTTTATAAAAGAAAGCATTTAATTGGGGGGGGGTTCTTACAGAGGTTTAGTCTATTATCATCATGGTGGGGAAACTTAGCAACAGGCATAGCAGGCATGGTGCTGGAGAAGTAGCTGAGAGCTACATACTGAGCCATAGGCAAAGAGAGAGAGACACTGGTCTTGGCATGGACTTTTAAAACTTCAAAGTCCAGCTCCTAGTGACACACTTCCTCCATCAAAGCCACACCTACCCCCAACAAGGTTACAGCTCCTATTAGTGCCACTCCATATGGGCCTATGGTGGCCATTTTTATTCAAACTACTATATCTTGGCTTACCTTCTGAAACTCACTATGTAGACTTGGCTGGACCCAAACTCACAGAGATCCTCCTGTCTCTACCTCTTGGGTGTTATGATTAAAGGTGAATGCCACCATACCCAAAGAATTATTAGTCAAGGTTCTCTAGAGTCATAGACCTTATGGAATATATATATTCCATATATATATATATGATATATATATGGAATTTATTGGCATGACTTATAAGCTACAGTCTTACTAATCCAACATTGGCTAGCTGTGAATGGAAAGTACAAGAATCTAATAGTTATTCAGTCCCAAAAGACTGGTGTCTCAGCTGGTCTTCTGTATGTGCTGTAATTCCAAAGAGGTAGGCTCCAATGCTAGTGAAGGAATAAATGTGCTGACAAGGCAAGGGCAAACAAGCAACAAACCAAACTATCCTTCTTCTATGTCCTTATATGGGCTTTCAGCAAAAGGTGTGGCCCCAATTAAAGGTGGGTCTTCCAGCCTCAAAGTCTGGATCAAAAGCCTGTGTCTTCCAGCCTCAAGATTCTGACCAGAGGTATGTTATCCTCTCACCTCAAGATCCAGATCACAGGTATACCCTCCATTTCTGGATTGTAGTTCATTTTAGATATATTCAAGTTGACAACAAAACTAGCCATCTTAAGTTCACACTTTGTCAACTTGACACACAATCATATCTCCTTATGTTATGATTAATTTCCAAATGAAAACAATACTAGGTCATAATAATGCCTAAACATAACTATCCCACATACAACTGCAAATGTGTTATATATTTAACCAGGTCATAATTATGCCTAACATGATTTGACTATGTCCTGTACAACTACAAACATGGCAACTCTTATAAAAGAAAACATTTAATTGAGACTGGCTTACAGTTTCAGAGGTTTACTCCATTATAATGATGGTGGGAAACATGGCAGTGTGCAGGCAGACATGATGCTGGAGAAGGATATGTGTGTTCTACATTGTGATGCACAGGCAGCAGAAGGAGACTGCCACACTAAACCTAGCTTGAGCATATAAGACCTCAGTGCTCACCTCCAAAGTTACTTGCTTCCTCCAGCAAAGCCACACCTACTCCAACAAGGTTACCCTCCCAATAGTGCCACCCCCTATGGGCCAAGAACTCAGACACATGAATCTATGGGGACCATTCCTAGTCAAACAACCCTGCACAGCTTTGTTTTTTTTCTATTTATAAATAATTGTTTTCCTTTTCCCAGGATAAAAGTCCAGAACTGTACTATAAAGAAATTATGAATTCTCTGTTAATGTCCTTTATAAATGTATCTTTTGGGAGGGGATAATTTTATTAATATTATCGTATATATTAGATATTACAAGTGATAACTTTATTGAAATTATTTTTATAAGTTTACTGTCTCAACCTCATATGATTTTTTGAAATAAAAGTTTTTTAGGTAGTAACTCATAAAACTTTTCTCTTTGGTATTTTCATTGTTTTTATATTCACAAAAATACCTCTCTACCCAGAAGAGTTTTAAATATTTTCTTTTATATGTTCATTTTTATATTTAATTATTTAACCATCTCTCAGTAACTTGTGTAAAGTGTAAGTAATTTTTGATGCATTTTAAGAAATAGATTAAAGTTACTTTATTCCAGTAGACTGATAGTAAATTATAGAAGCATCTAAAGCTATGGAGTTATAGGTACATTTCTTTCTGACTTGGAATTTATTTTAATTTGTATGTCTTCTATGATAAATATGCACAGTTTTTAAATCAAAAAAGAAAATCTTTTAAAAAGAAAACACACATTTGGGTAAAGATGTAGAGTTTGATCTTGGAGAAAAGTGGAGGTAAATAAAGTTAAAATATATTGTTTGGAATTCTCAAAGAACTGAATAAAATAAATAAAATTTTAAAATGATAACACATATCCATCTTGGAATGGCAAACCTTAAGTAGTCATTCTTGAAGTTATAGTGACATTTTCTGTTTACTTTTGAATTACTTTTAAGTAATTAAGAATTTTCACCTTCATAGTTTTCATATAAAATTAGAATTAAAATTTTTCTCATAAATTTCTCTTAAGATCTGAGGTAATAAAAATTGGATAAAGAACAAAAGATAGAGAGATATAGTTATAAAACTTTATAACTCTTTAGGATTTTATTATTCTAAAAAGTTATTCTTTCTGAATTTTTTTCCTCTTCAGGTAACTTTCAAAAACCAGGCCTCTCGTCCCTACTCCTTCTATTCTAGCCTCATTTCTTATAAGGAGGATCAGACACAAGGAGAAGAACCTAGAAGAAACTTTGTCAAACCTAATGAAACCAAAATTTATTTTTGGAAAGTACAACATCATATGGCGCCCACAGAAGACGAGTTTGACTGCAAGGCCTGGGCTTATTTCTCTGATGTTGATCTTGTAAGTCATTCCTTATTAGGATAGTTATATTATCATTTAAAAGAAATGGCCTTTAAATTTTTTTAAAGTGTATGTGTGTGTGTGTGTGTGTGTGTTTTGCCTGTGTGTATATCTGTACATCTCAGAAGTAGGCTTTGGATTCCCTGGAACTGGAGTTAGAAATGGATGTGAGATGCCATGTGGGTGCTGGGAATAAAACCCAGATCTGGAAGAGCAGTCAGTGCTCTTAACCACTGAACCGTTTTCCAGCCTGTTTGTTTTTTATCCTCTATACTAAGAATTTTGTTATATATCCTAAACAGAATGAAAAGTTTTAAAGTGAAGGAAGTATTATCACTTTTCTGTGTTAGAAATATTACTCTGGAATCTACTGTAGAGAATAAATGGTACGTTGCCAAGAGAGAACTTACACTAATACAATTAATGCCCTCTTGGGAACTCTAGGAAAGAGATATGCACTCAGGATTGATTGGACCCCTTCTGATTTGCCACACAAACACGCTGAATCCTGCGCTTGGTAGACAAGTGGCAGTACAGGAATTTGCTCTGTTTTTCACTATCTTTGATGAGACCAAGAGCTGGTACTTCACTGAAAATGTGGAAAGGAACTGCAAGATACCCTGCAATGTCCAGATGGAAGACCCCACTGTGAAAGAGAATTATCGCTTCCATGGTAACATAATCAATACATAAATATTATTCATTATAAAATGTAGTATACTTTTTCAAATGAGCTTTGAACCAGACATTTGAACAGTATTGAGAAATGAAATCCTGATGAGTATCAGGATTTTCTATGGAGAACAAGGAAGGAAGCTTCAGGGAAATATTTTAATAATCTTCTCTGTTCTTCTCCAGCAATCAATGGTTATGTGATGGATACCCTACCAGGTTTAGTAATGGCTCAAGATCAAAGAATTCGATGGTATCTTCTCAGCATGGGCAGCAATGAGAATATCCAATCTATTCATTTCAGTGGACATGTGTTCACTGTACGGAAAAAAGAAGAGTACAAAATGGCAGTGTATAACCTCTACCCAGGTGTGAGATAGTTTATTCATTTTTTTCTAGTTTCTGTGTGCTTTGAATATTTGCTTTAAATGGTGATATAATCAATAACAAAACAGAGAAGCACCTTTTTGAAACGTCTTATTTTTTCTAGTAATTTTATCTTATACACAGAGAGAAATAAATTAGCAAATGAACAAGATAACTTCAAGTATATGGAAATTACTAGAAATGAATAATTAGTACCATATAGTACTTTCCTAAGAATCTTTTGTCATTTCCCCCTCAAAACCTACATGGCACCAGTAGTTATCAAGACGAATTTGCTTATGCATGTAACTAATATATTGGTGAAGCACTAATGAAAGTGTTGATAAAAACACAATTATTTTTAAACAGTATATTTGTGGGTACATGTGTGTCTGTGTGTGTGAGTGTGTGTGTCTGTCTGTCTGTGTTTGTGTTGGTATGCGCATATAAGTGCCTGGTGCCCACGAAGACCAAAAGAGATGATAAGAACCCCTGGAACTGTAATTACAGGTAGTTTTGAGCTGCCTGACATCTGTAGTAGATATCAAACTCAAGTCCTTTGCAAGAGCACTAGCATTCTAGTCACCTGTTCAGCTTCTCCCCTCCTTCCAGCTTCTTGCAACTTGAGATCCCTTTGCCTAGTACTGTGGACACAAGATGATCTTACTATGATTTCTCTTCCCCTTGAAAGTAACATTTGGTCAATAGTAAAGACACCTATAGTATTTTTCAGAGCAAAAATGTACACAAAAAGTCTCGCACTTATTGAGAGATCTGAGAATGATGGAACTGAATTTGGTAGCTTATTGTGATAATACATATTGTAAATAAGTCGATGTATTTTATACTCATTTTTAATAAAATAATTTTTGTTTCTTTTGATTTTAAAAGGAGTTTTTGAAACAGTGGAAATGCTACCATCCAGAGCTGGCATTTGGCGAGTAGAATGCCTTATTGGCGAGCACTTACAGGCTGGAATGAGCACTCTTTTTCTGGTGTACAACAAGCGTGAGTAAAGCTCACTAAATATTCAGTCTATTTCTATACAACTTTACTCCTTTTTGAAGTGGTTGTCTTTGTCAAGAAATAAATACAAGCTTGTATTATTATTAAATTTAAAATGAACATTGCTGATAGAAACCATTAGAGTTCTCAGAGGAGGTTGAAGCTTTGTACGCTTTGAATATGAATCTATGGTATGTAACAAACTGGTGCTTAAACAGTCTTAAATTTCACAGTAGTAGATTTTGGGACTTAATTTTGATTCATTTACCAACGATAACTTACAAACTTTACTTGGAAGAGTTTGGGGATATAACTTTAAACAAAGTAAGAGAAACATCACTTAGCTAAAAGTAATTAATGTATCCTTGTTTTTATGGGTTCTGTGTCATTTATAGCTTCTGTGTTTGATTTCAGAGTGCCAGATTCCTCTGGGAATTGCTTCTGGAAGCATCAGAGATTTTCAGATTACGGCTTCAGGACACTATGGTAAATACTATGATTTTTGTTTTAAGAATCTGGGATGATAATTTTTTCATTCCTGTTAGAGAGTTTCAAATAATCTACGTCTTTCCATGCTTTTCTAATATATATATATACATATATATATAAACACACATATATATATACACACACACACACACACACACACACACACACACACATATATATATATATATATATATATGGATGTTTTGCCTACATATACATCTGTAAACCACTGGCATGCCTGGTGCCTGTGGAGACCAGAGAGGGGCATAGAATTCCCTTAAACTGGAGTTACAGGTGGTTGTGACCTGCTTTGAGGATGCTGGGAATTGAACCTGGGTCATTCCCAACAAGTGCTCTTAGTTCAGGCCACTTTCATTTCTTACCTAGGCAATGGCACTAACTCCTGAAATAGCCTTCCCACTTTAGTGCTGTTCCCATGAGTTCATTATACTGAGCATAGTAGAAAGCTACATTTGCTTCTGAACAGTTTTATTAAAGCTTTAATAGAGTCTATAAAATTCCTCACACATTTGAAGGCGTAAGTCACGAACAATGCCACACCAGTTTGGAATTATGATTAATAGGGTGGTATTTATTTAAAGAGGAAAAAACTTACAGATCACCGTTCCAGACAACAGCCCTCTGCACAACCAGGAAGGGAGTCTAGTCTCCGGCGGTGCAGGAAGTGAAGAGAGAGAGCGGAGGGAAGTAGGCCTTTTTTAAAGGGAGAGAGACCACGCCCCAATGGGCTGGTATCTCAGCAGCTATTGGTTGGAGGAGCGGAAGGACCTCCCGCAACACACATTATTCTAGAATAAGGGTTTACAGATCATTGTCTTTAGGTCCATTACCTATTTTCATGAGTAAAGAATAATTTTCAGTTTTTAGTGTATATTACTTATGCTAAAGTATAGCTTTCATTGTGACATTTTTGTTTTCTTATTTGAATACAATGTACTTTGATTCTACTCTATTATCCTGTCATACTTCTCTTCCCACTTTTCCAGTCTGCTTCCTTTTCCCAGATAGTTAACTTTTCTATTTTTTAAAAAAAACTATTACACTTATTTATGTGTGTGTGCGCGCACATGTCTATGTGCACGTATAGAAGTCAGAAGACAGTGTACATGAGTCTTTTCTCTCCTGGTATGTAGATCAATCTCAAGTTATCAACCTTAGTGACAAGCACTTTTACTCATTGAGACATCTCACTGGCCCAACTTTTCTATTTTTAGATGACTTAAAAAGTTTTAAGTGTTAAATATGACATGTTAAAATTATAAAATTCAAGTTGAAATGTCTATAAAAAGTCTTATACTGCAACAAAGTCACACACATTCATTTACATAGCATGTATGGCTGCAATGGCAGTTATGTAGTTAAAAAAAGAGGCCATATAATATGTCACTCTTAAAGTACTTGCTATCTAGCCTTTGATATAAAATGGTTTGTCAAACCTCTACTTTAAAGGAGAAAGAAAAAAAGAGTTTTGGGTATTATTTGAAGAGTTTCTTGATGGAAGTATCATGCTTTTTATTTCTTTTATTTTCTTACTATTCTTTAAAATTTTCTGACTTTTCTGTAATAAATGTACATTACATGATAAAGAAATATTATAGTACCACTTGTACAGTGCATATATACCTCAGTGGTAGAGTACTTTCCTAACACATGCAAGGGCCCAGGTTCATTCCCCAATATTGCCTCCCCATAAAAAGTAGAACATGGGATATACAACATCAAAAAATAAATCCTTTAAACAGTAATCAGTACTATGATACTACAAAACTTTTATGCTTTTCTCTATCTCTTTCACGAGGATTAACCTTTCTCTATAAAATACTGTTTTTCCAAAGATTTTAAGATTATTACAGTAGAAAATATAATGATGTAATCTTTCTCTTCTTCCTTGGACAAAGGACAGTGGGCCCCAAACCTGGCAAGACTTCATCATTCTGGATCAATCAATGCCTGGAGTACCAAGGAGCCCTTTTCTTGGATCAAGGTCAGAAAACTATGAGAAATATATCAACATTCAATAAGTTCAAAACATTATATATACCCTTTTATTCTGTAGTAACTCCTATAAAACATCAGTTTACATACGAGGAAACTGTAAAATAGAATGACTTATTAATTTCTATAAAAATATTCAAAAAGGAATTATTGGTGTGGTGGCTTGGATAAAAATGACCCCCATAGGTACATAGAGAGACACACTACTGTGAGGTGTGGCACTTTTAGGAGTAGTTGTGACCTCGTTGAAGGAAGTGTGTCAATGGGGGTGAGCTTTATTTATTTATTTATTTATTAAAGATTTCTGCCTCCTCCCCACCACTGCCTCCCATTTCCCTCCCCCTCCCTCAATCAACCCCCCCTCCCTCGTCAGCCCAAAGAGCAATCAGGGTTCCCTGCCCTGTGGGAAGTCCAAGGGCCACCCACCTCCATCCAGGTCTAGTAAGGTGAGCATCCAAACTGCCTAGGCTCCAAGGAATCCAACATTGCCAACACTGCCTACAACAACAATGGCAATAAGTCTCTCTCTTATAAACAAAAGTCCACAGCTCCCTCTCTGATGTGGGATTCCCATCTGTATGCTGCGAATATGTTTTATTGCCATTGGTTAATAAAGAAGCTGCTTTTAGTCAATGGCTTAACAGAGTAAAGTTGTTTTCGTTGGTAGGTAGATCTGTTGACTCCAATGATTATTCATGGCATCAAGACGCAGGGTGCTCGTCAGAAATTTTCCAGCCTCTACATCTCTCAGTTTATCATCATGTATAGTCTTGATGGAAAGAAGTGGCTGAGTTATCGAGGGAATTCCACTGGAACTTTAAAGGTATGTAATTACTTCTTCCATGAAAGCGTATGAAAACTTTAAAGAGCTTTTGACAGATGCTACAGCTTATAAGCTCCAAAAATGAATTTTCTTCCTATGGGTTAATATGAATGCTTATGGACATATAAACAAAAAAGTTGAACTTTTAATACTTTCATACATGATAGAAATGCAGACATGTATTATGAGAATGTGATTTTCTTAGAGGGGTCTCTACATGAAAGACTTTAGTTTATCAGTCAAAACCATGAATGGAGGTTAAGATCTGTCTTTTACGTGAAAGAATGGGAAAACCTTGGAAATTTATTCTCTAGAGGTAAACTTGAGAAAATTAAACAAACACACTCAAATCCTTAACATTGTTGGCTATACTTCTCTAATTTTATATCCCTGATTATCTGTACCAGAAATGTATCCCAATTCTTTCTTTCTATGTTTCTTCCATTTTGTCCATTTTTACTTATATGACTAATACTTCAATTCAAAGTTCCATTCCCTCATACTCAGACTATAATATTCTCCATATGCTGAGGATATAGGTGGATATGACACAGAAGCTAAGGAGAAGAGTTACAGAGTTGTAGTGACAAGTGCCAAAATATCACCTGGCATGCAACAAAAACACCCCAGTGGCACCTATTGTATTTATAAGATACATAATGTTGACAAGACCTGGTAAACAGAAAACAGTAATTGCTCTAATGTGTTGTGTTTCACACATAGAGATACACACAAATAAGCCTGCTTTGTTCTTGAAATGGAATTGTATCCCATGTTTAATATGTTTACTATTGGTTTTAAGCAAATACTGTTTATTATGTATAAAAACTTTCCTTATGACCATGCATATTAGTATACACCTTTAATCCTAACACTTGGGAGACAGAGACAGTTGAATCTCTATGGATTCAAGGCCAGACTAGTCCACATAGCTAGTTCTAGACAGGGCCAGAGCTATTAAGAATTGTTCTCAAAAAAAATTCTTCAATTTCTATATTGTTGGTAATTACAATTGAATTTTATCAAATACTTTGCTAGCACTTACATCCCTATCTTTTCATACAAGATGTTTTGAGCATGTGTTTTTCAACTCCCAACTCTTCTTAGATCCTCGCACCTCTCTCCCTACCAAACTATACATTCTCTCTTTATCTTTCCTTCTCTTACAAAAAGAAACACAAAAATGAAAGTCAAAACAAAGCCAGGCAGTGGTAGCACACCCCTTTAATCCTAGCACTCAGGAGGTAGGCAGATCTCTGTGAGTTTGATGCCAACCTAGTCTATATATCAGTTTCAGCACAATCAGGGCTGTTATACAAAGAAACCTTATCTCTAAAAAAATCAAAGCAAAGAAAGATCAATAAGATTTTTTAAATGCCAAAATGAAACACACACATTCAAAAACTATAAAGTTCATTTTGTGTTGGACAACTTATCTTGAGTATGGGTTCTGCCCTGAGGATAGTTATTATATTGAGTGACATTTCCATAGGAGAAAACTAACTTTCCATTTGCCGGCAGATATAATTTGCATAGCTTCTTGGTTAGGGGTGGGGCCCTGTATCCTCTTCTCCCTCTCAGTGATGGAACTACATCTGGCTTGAACTTGTGAAGGTCTTATGCATGATATGTTTTCTTTGAGCTAATATGTTCATTAGTCCTTTTGTGTCTGTAAGATACTGTTTCCTTGGAGTCATCCATTACCTCTGGCTCTTGCAATGTTTCCTCTTCCATGTATATCCCTGAGCCTTGAAGGAAGGGGTTTGATAAAGATACCCCATTTCGGACTGAGTGCTTCAAAGTCTTTCACTGTCTGCATTGTCCAGTTGTGAATCTCTGTGTTAGTTTCCATCTATTACAAGAAGCTTTTCTGATGAGGCTTGAGCAAGGCACTGATTTGTGGATATAACACTATGTCATTAATAATCATTTGTAGAAGGAAGTTTTTGTTCTGCCTGGTCCCACGCCACTGGGGTCAGTTTTTCCACTGAGGTAGCCAGTGGAGGGGCTGGACCAGCTCTCTGGTGCCCAGGTCACAAGGTACCTATCCCCCCCCAGTGGTAACACAAGCCACAGACATCAACACAGATCCCAGATACAGTAGCAACAAGGACCCAGACATGGTCCTCTGCTGTAGGTTGGGTCAAGGCATCACTATGGCCCTGGGTGGCAGTGCAGGCCACTCAGATAATATGACCCTGGAGTCAGTGGGGCTCTCTGACACCAACATGGCCTGAGGTGGCAGCCCAGACCACAAGCATCCACATAGCCTTTGGTGGTAACACCAGGCACAGACATCAACACAGACTCTAGCTGAAGTAGGTCCACAGAATCAAACATGGCCCCCAGTGGCAGCATATAACTGGGACATCACATGGCCCCTTTTAACAGGGTAAATCACCCATATCAGTCTGTTCCTTACTGCCTGTAGACAAAGAATGCACTTTCATTTCCCGTACACCCAGACCCAAATAATGACACAGAAACTATATTAATTTTAACACTCTTTGGCCAATGGCTCAGGCATATTTCTAGCTAGCTCTTACATATTAAATTAATATATTTTTATTAATCTATGTATTTTCATGAGGGTGTGGCTTACCACTAATGTTGTGGTATCTTTTTCCTTCAGCAGCTACATGGCATCTCCTTGACTCCACCTACTCACTCTATCTTTGTTTAAATTTACCACCTGACTTTACTCTGCTAAGCTATTGATCAAAATAGCATTATTCATCAACCAATAAAAGCAACACATATACAGAACTACTATTGCATCTTCATTTAAGCTTCTCTCCTCCGTGCATGAACCATTCTAGGCCTCCTCCTCTCTTGTTGCTCAACATACCTGTTCACTGTAGTGGTGCCCATCACCCCACTGGACTCTGTCCACTCAGACCACAGGGCACCGGATCTGATGTTGTTTCTATTTCAATGATTTCACCCCTGAATTTAGTTATTTCTTGCCATATACTCTTTTTATTATTTCTTTTTGCTTTTCTAGAGTATTCAATGTTTTGTTAAGTTACAAATATTAGATCACTCCATTTTTTTATGGAGATACATAGTGTTATGAATTTGCCTCTTAAAACTGCCTTCATTGTGTCCCATAGGTTTGGGTATGTTTTGTTTTCATTCTCATTCAATCCTAAAAAGTTTTTAATTTCTTTCTTGATTTCTTTTTTCATTTGATTTATAATAGTTCTTCTCATATAATACATACTGATTATGGTTTCACCTACCATTATTCCTTTCAGTTTCTCCCTACTTCCCCTCCCATATGGATCATCCCCTTTCTGTCTCTCCTTAGAAAACAAACAGGCTTCTAAGGGATAATAATAAAATAAAATATAAAAAGATAAAACAAAAACTAACTCATTGGAGTAGGACAAAACAAACAAACAGAAGGAAAAAAGCCCCCCAAAAAAGCACAAGTAAAGGATATAGACACAGATACCCATTCCTTTGCATTCTTAAGAATCTCATAAAAACATAAAACTAGAAAGAATACTATATGTGCAAACAACCTGTACAATTAAAAAAGAGAAATAATATATGTATATGTATACATAATTAAAATAAAATGTTTTAAAGCCCTGTAAAATCATGATGAGATAAGGAATTTTCAAAGATGCCTTGAGTTTATTTTCTGTTGACCACCTACTGCTGGGGATGCAGACTACTTTTAAGAACAGTTTGTTTGGGAAGGAAGTGGGAACTGGGATTTTTATGTAAAATGAAAAAAGATTGTTTTTTTATAAAAATTTTTATTTATTTATTTTTTTATTGAAAA